GGGGTGTGTTGAACTGGTGGCTGTGAATTGAAGTGATTGTTTTAAACAACTTTCTGTATGATGGAACAAGGCTCTGAATGGACACTTTCAAGGCTAGTGAATAACTTTTTGTCAAGATATAACAAATGCGAACCTATACGATTCAACTCCAACACAATGCGACTCTGATGAAGCTCGCTTTTTTAGGTTGCTGTTGTATCTTAGTATTATACTGAGGCCGTTTTTGGATAAGTTCCATCTTGGATCAGCCCACACTGTCTATGCTCAGAGCCTCCTACACATCCAAAAACCTTCTGTCAGAGCCCAGTCACATTAGCATTTGGCCAGCCCAGTGCAATGGCCCATATGACCAGATGAGTATGAAACTTTTCCCTTACCCGTCCGTCTTTATAAAGATGGAACAGAGAGAAAGTAAGGCTCGGCCCAACTTTCTCAGTTCCTTTGAGGACCCATTTATCACTCATAGCTATGAAACTAGTGCATTGTCTTTGCCAACACAGCCCTTGTTTTTCGTGGGTGTGAGACACTGTGGTTGTTTTGTCGGTAGCTGGCTGGCTTATAGACACACCATATGATGAGAAAACGTGTACTTGAGTTTTAAACCTTTGACCCATAATTGGAAAGCAATATATACATGCAAAAATGGGGGCACAACAATGATGAAGAAGAAGAGCTCGTGAAGCCCTTACATGATTGAAGGCCACTACTAGCCTACCCTTTTTCACACCCTCTCAATCACTAGCCCCAGTCACTCATTTTCTGGCCCTACACTTTCTTTATATGTCTGCTTTTCTACATTTCAGAAAATCATTTTTAACTAAACCCTCAATGTCTCTCATTTTTCCACATAATAATGACTTACTCAGTGGATAAACTACCCCATCCTTCTGCTAATCACCACACAAAACACAAACCCGTTAAATAAACTCGTGCATAGTAGGGTTTGTGTGCTGTTTTGTTAGATTTGTGTCGGTTCTTTTATTTAACGGGTTTGAAGGGTCCTTCAATTTTAATATCATTTTACGATGGATTCATAATTCAAGCTTTGGTTGAACATGATTGCATCGCNTCCTTCTGCTAATCACCACACAAAACACAAACCCGTTAAATAAACTCGTGCATAGTCGGGTTTGTGTGCTGTTTTGTTAGATTTGTGTCGGTTCTTTTATTTAAAGGGTTTGAAGGGTCATTCAATTTTAATATCGTTTTACGATGGATTCATAATTCAAGCTTTGGTTGAACATGATTGCATCGCAAGTTGCATGCTAGTTGTTCAAGGGATGACCTCGAGGTGTATGGAGGGATTTTTTCGGTATTTCACCATGGTGCTTCTCTAATCACAATTATCGTATCGCACACAAACACTATTATTGATAAGCACAAACAATTATGTTTCATAAAATATTTTTTTCGGCCAAAGTATAATAAGTTAGGTTNACACAAACACTATTATTGATAAGCACAAACAATTATGTTTCATAAAATATTTTTTTTGACCAAAGTATAATAAGTTAGGGTTGTATCCTGTACCTATCTCAAATTTGAGGGGAAAAAGTTAGTGTTCTTTTAATGGAAATGGTGGTGGAGGCCACATTATTCTGTCTTGTGTACTTTGTCCCCACACTTATCTTCCGATTACAGCACATGTTCTACTTTCCACTGAAATTATTATCAAAACAGGTTAGTGGCATTTCTCTTTCCTTTCCCTTTACAGCTCTCTCTCTCTCTCTCTCTCTCTCATGTCCCACCACTTTGTGTTTATATTGAATTTTCAAAAGCTTTGAACATGAAAGGCCGAGTCATTTCTCTCTATCTTTTTGCTTTTCCAACATCACCTTAATTGTCTTCTAACCTCTTTTATGATTTGGATGCCGATAACTATGCTTCAATCACATAAAATAAGATATGTGTGTAGCAATTCCCCTGCAATCAGGACTAAGGTTGAAGTAGAGCACATGATGTTTCTCACTTTTTATCTCTCTCTATTTTTATTGGTTAGGCATGTTCGGACTAATTTACGCGTAATTCGATTAATTTCTTTTTCAGTCTGGTCAAAAATAGGTCATCTTCGCCAAAATTAAGTATTCATAAAAGATAAATTTTTCATTGTCTCACCCCAAAGAACAATATCTCTCTTCTTATCTATAAGAACACCATTCTTGCTGTTAAAAAAAAATTATGCAACCACTTACACTTTGGAAATATCTGTTTCCATATGGTTTTTATTTTCAATAATTTTCTGAAAATCATGAACCACTCTAGGTATAATTTGCCATTAATTTTTCAAAAATCGTAACCTTACTGGATGAAGCCTTTTGTGGAGGAAGTAAACTTGATAATTACAACTAATAATTTCAATGTGAGTCCCAAGATTTATTAGAATCCGCTACCTATTCAATAGTTGTGATTATAAAGTCTAATTTTTAAGTTCACGTAGCATTACTATTTATGAAGATATAATAAAAGTGATCCAATCATAGATACGAAGTAGGATTATCGGGAGGATAATGCTAGACTGAACTCCTAAAATATGATCAAATGATGTGAGGCTGACATGAATACTTTTAATCCCGCTTTTACCCCTTTAAAGTTAAAATTTTACTAACTATATCAGTATCTCACTCTTAGTCTTAGCTTTGTCGTCCTATTTTGGGTCGGTCTACTATTATCTTTATTTAAAAGACTCCAATACAAGAAGACAGAGTAGGTATTAAAGGTGGAACCCAAAAATTCTCACCCAACCCGGCTTTAAATGTGCGGGGTTTCCTGCGGGTCTTAGAGCATTATAGCCTCGGGGTGCGAATATGGCATTATCAGTACATGGCCTGAGTTTGAGTCTGACCAGAAATATAACGATTCCTTCTTACATCTTTAGAAGAGAGTAGGTATATTATTCCACGTCCAAGGAAAAAGAAAATCCTATCAATAGAATTAGAGAGCTCTTGGACAAAAATGAAAACTAGTAACGGTTCTAAGATGGATTTTATATTGTAAAGTAGCTTTAATTAGATGTGATGAAGATATTGCAGGAGTAACATCGGAGTAGTTGGGATGTCAAATGAGGAAGAAGAAGAGGACCGAGGACCACAATGAGTGAACATAAAGGAAATGCGTAGATGGGTGATTGCTATTTCCGTGGATTTTACTAAGCTTTTGATGAAAAAGCTTTTTGTCTTTTAAGATTAAAGGCTGACACAAGAAGTAATTTAAGAGAAAAGCAAGAGAACCAAAATGTTGACTCTTGGCTAATAAACTGAATGGTACTAATTGAAAAAGAAGTTGATTTGCTAGACAAAAACAGCTTTCGTTTCTTTATTTCAGACTCCTTTTATAGCTTTTTGCAAGTTTTGTTCCGATACATACCATTCTATGTGTGTTTGTGGCACTTTAGACAGGTAGAAATCCTCTTGTGTTATTTTGAGTTTGTGTCGAACATTAGTCAGCATTAATTTAACTAGTTTAATTAATTGTATTAAGTCAAATCGATCTATTTATTTTTATGTCGTGTTCATGTTAACCTATATAATTCGTGAATAAAAAATTTAACGCTCAGACTTAAAGATAAAATTTAATTGTTTCTTAATCGAATTTATACTCATACTTCTTTCTATAAACTAAAAATTAATTTAATAAATATAATAATAAAAATGAATAAAAATATTTTTTTGTACAATAAATATGTCACTACTTGATAAAATATAATAAAAATTATCATTTTATTTTTATAATAGTAATTAAACATATTAATTATATCAATTTCGTATTATTTGTATTTGAATTAATCTAACCTTAATTTATTATTCATGTTAACGAATTATATCATTTACGAGTTTGTGTTAAGAAATGATCGTGTCAATTTTGAGTCGCGTCTTTATTGTCTTGGAACCCAAGATTCTTTTCTCTCTCCAAAAACTTTAAGTCATGTCATCCTTTCACCTATCTGAGTGGAGGACTTTCATGACATGCAACTGCAGTTGGAATGATTAAAAACATAGTATCTCCATTATTGGCATCTATTTTGTTATACGAAGCCTGATTGTTTTAATTAGCATCAAGCCAATCGGGCTGACCCGATCCATGGTCTACCCATCAGGATAGTTTTAAGCATAGTTTTAAAACCCGGCCCGGATATCAACCCGAAGAAGGGATCGGGTCAATGAATTTCTGGTTTAATCACTAGGTCACTGGTCGAACCGGTGATATAATAAAAAAATAAAAAATAATTATTAATGATGATAAATAGACTAAAAAAATAAAATAATTATAAAAATAATATGTTTAATATATATTAAATCAAACAAAGTTATCAAGCCTGAAACACTTAATTGCATTCAATTAACAAACCAATGCATTCAATTAACAGCCCAACCTCCACCCTTAAACTTGAATCACTTAATTGCATCACTTAATTTTTGAGTTAACAAACACTGAACGAAT